TTTGCTTCATCTTCCTCATCAAAATATTATTTTTGAGAGTTAGAAATATTTTTCTTTGAGTGCTATAGAAGTTGTCATCCATAGAGCTTAAATCTTTCAAACACTGCTTTGCTCAATTGTGTGAGCTTTCATTCTTGTGTTGTAAACTCAATCTCATTTGAGTGTTGTTCTTAAGACTTGTGTGACTCAAGTCTTGTTGTTGTAAGAAAGTGAGGCTTGTGTGATTCAAGTTCTCAAGTTGTACCGGTTTTTCAAGCACCCGTTGAAGCTTGAAGATTAGTAGGACTTTCGAGAGAGTCTCTCGGAGGACTGGACTAGCCACGAGGTGGTGAACCAGTATAAATCTCGGTGTTCTTCTTTCCCTTACTCTTTTTATTTATTCCTGCGATTTTATTATTTCACACACGCAAAAAAAATGCACATTCTTGAGAACAACTCTATTCACCCCCCCTCTAGAGTTGCACATTTGTCTAACATATAACAAAACACACACTTTGCATGGAACTAACCGAATGAAATCCTTTCAAAAAGGATATTCGAACTCTAACCAATCCCTGCAGGAATCAACGCAAAAAAAACCATATTACTTCTTCTATTATGATGAAAAGAAGAAGATTCACATACCACCACTACGCCAGAAACAGCATCAGACCACTGTTGATTCACTACTGTTTATGCAAACACAGTAGTTGAAAAAAAACAGACTACTGTAAGTTTTTCATAAGAACAGAACGGTAGTCTAGGTTGTATGCTTTAAAACTATTTTTCAAGTTTCGAGAAACGGTAATGTTTCATTAGCTGGTTTTTCTTCTGCACTTGAAGATGAACTTGAAATTTTCAGCTGACAATTTTCTCCTTCATCCCTCTGGCCTGCAGGATGCCGTAAGCAGAAAAATCAGCCTAGATGCTCTCGTTGACTTTGCATTGGCTCAAGGGTCTCAATGGATTTTCATCACACCCCATGATATCAGGTAAATAATCAAGAACCAAAATATGCAGCCTCAACCTTCCATTTCAAACATCTCGTCGATATGAACGGTTGGTAATACTTTGTTTTTTGTATTCTACTTTTGTTTATCATCAGTATGGTGAAGCAGGATGAGAGGGTAAGGAAGCAACAAATGACGGCCCCCCGTTAACTTCTACGTAAAGCTTCTCCCCAATGCAATATTTTTTGTATTCTTACTTCTTGCATGTTGTGAGGCCTAACACTACGCCAGAAACAGCATCAGACCACTGTTGATTCACTACTGTTTATGCAAACACAGTAGTTGAAAAAAAACAGACTACTATAAGTTTTTCATAAGAACAGAACGGTAGTCTAGGTTGTATGCTTTAAAACTATTTTTCAAGTTTCGAGAAACGGTAATGTTTCATTAGTTGTCTGTCTCAGTTCAAGATACAGTTTTTTTTACAACAGTTGTCAATTAGAAGTTAAGAATACTCTATTTAAACAATAGTCTGGGTTGTTATTCTAGAACTGTTTTAAAATTTATTAGAAACAGTTATCTAACGTTTGTTGTCTGTTTCGTATGGGTTTTTTGCCACTGTTGTTTATAATAGGAATAGAAGACTCTTTTAGAACAATAGTCTATAAATTATGGGTAGAACTGTTTTTGAAGCTGTGA